TGTTTTGCCCGATCATTCCTGTGCTGATCGATGTTCTGGCAAGAACGAAGGGTGTCTCCACAGCTCCAAGTGGTACTCTTCCAACAATCCACCCCAAGTAAATATGCAGGAAATTACAATGCAGGAAATCAATTAATTTTTTGTTGTAAATATGCATATAACGTTATTACAGTAACATAATTGTTCGTCCCAGGCAGGTCGCGTTTGGTTTTTGAGGCCAGTCCCACTCGCCGGCTCGCGAAGGCTGGGAATCGGGGCGGTTCGACCGAAGCGACGCGAAGCGACACCGTAAGGGACCGACGCGCGGGTCGGGAATCGGTTTCACCAGAAGCGACCGAAGCTACCATCAACAAGACTATTACACGTTCTACATATATTTGATGTCGAGTCCATGAGTCCATGAGTAGCAAGGTAATGACCAGTTGAAGAAGTTACATATAGAAGACAACATTAGGAGACATACAACAGCGGCTTGTCCACAAGCATTGATTTCGACATGTTGACATGTTTTGTTGATGATCGGCAAGATGGAAACACGACAATGACATACAGCAATTCAGAAAGGAGCCAAAGAACAGCTGCTGGTCACCACAACCCTGTATCTTTGAGAGAGACGACTCAGTGTTCCTTGTTAGGACCAACTGGTGATCAACATGCCATGTCTCTTCCTGTGCTCCCCAACCAATTGGAAGACGTGCTCCCAGTTCCGTCGATCTTCCGAAGACGTGCCAGCACCTGGCTGTTTTGCTCTTGACGATCCGACGAGGATTCCCAAGATCGGCCCAGGTGGGCAAAAGAGTACCTTTTGGGGGTCAAGGTCCCCAGCCATCCTGGGTCATCATCATCATCATCATCATCATCATCATCATCATCATTCAGGACCTTCCAAGTGACCTAACTTGATATCTCAGGATGAGGTCACTTAAGCCCGTAAAAGGTCACTTAGAGACTCAAAGAGGCCACTTTGAATGTCCTGGATCATCATCAGTAGTTTGTTTGCAGGAAGAACAAGGACCCCTGGTGACTACCGTCTCATGGTGTACGTCAGAACTGGTGACTCGTTGTGGAAAGACTCTGCCTCCACTTCTTGAGGTTAGGGCAGGTGTTCAACGGGTGAGATCTATATAGGATCCCCCCGGAACCCCCCAGGTGGAGATAGGTCTCTACATGGGTCTCTACATGTCTCAGTTCGTGCATCGGTTGCTGCGAGGATCCAGCAGTCACGCAGCGCCTCTTTTCGGCACGGCCGAAGATCCACGAGGCCGGTCAGACTGTCGACATGCGCCACCTCCGTCCGGTGATGCGATCGACGGCACGACGGCAGTGGTCCCCCGAAACCAGTGGTCTTCTACCACCTGGAGTCGACCCGTTCGTAGTTCGTAAAATGGGTAGTCTTGTACCTTTTTTAAAGGGGTCATGTCTCATTTTCTAAGGTACTTTGGAGGGTCCAGGCATGTCCAATATCTATTATAGATGGATCCTTGGACCTGCCATAGAGGGCACAAACATCTATTTACCAGGGGTTTGCGTACCCTCAAAACGCCTGTTTTTGTGGTCGGGATCCTTACGGATCCTTCAGAAACAACACGACCACCGCGATGGTTTTCGCCCGCGTTCGCGGTGTTGGTTCTTCTGTTGGTCGGCGGATCGATCCTCGTCTCCGCCGGGTGGTTTGACCGTGTTTCCAATCATTTGTTTTTTTGCAAAGACACCCCAATGCCACACGAACGGATGGTCCACGGTTCATGGTCGGACTTGGCAATGTTTCTTCTTCATGTCACTTTCATGTAACATGAGAGCCAATGCCACACGAACGGATGGTCCATGGTCCATGGTCCATGCCTACCCTGGACCCTCATGAAGCGAGACTAAGATCGTCACCAGTGGATAGAACGGAGATTGCGGCTGGCAAGACTGCTGAGTCCTCTTCCATGTTTGTTGGAAATTGGAGGGAGTTTCTGGTCTCAACCCCTGGCAGGATATGCCAATCCCTCGATGGACACGCTCTTCCCAGAGAAGTGACGAGACGTGAAGAAGGGGACACCAGAGCGTCAAGGACATCAGCCTTTAGCAGAGATCATCGCCCTTCTTTCCAAGATTCAACCAACCCCTACCTTCAAATTGAATGTTGATGTTGCTGCGCTCTTTTTCTGGGGAAACCACGGAATACTGTAAACCGCAATGCAGAAGTTCATCGATCATGATTCATATGTCATAATGATGATCCTTCCTCCCTTGCCTTTGCATTTGTTCACCCTTGTGCCCATCAATTCGACGTGTTTCACCCCAGCACTGCTGCACTGCTGCAGCACATCCAGCAGCACTTCTGTCAGGCCCCATTTTCCTTCCGGGCGGCCATTGCACCGGGCGAGTCGCCCAAGGTGTGGCGGGAGTTCTTTTTCCCGTGGTGGGGGTCATGTTCGGAGGGAGTCGAAATCAACCGGAGGGAGTTTGGTTGGGCATTGGGTCGGTGTGATCCGAATTTGAGGAACATGAGGAACATTGTGCATCTCTTGAGGCCTCAACAATCACATTGGCATGGCAGTGCATGGCTTCACATGTCCAGATCCGGGCTGCTCATCGGAATGCCGATGGGTACGGGGAGTGGGTCATCATCGATCTGTGGGACACTAAGCCAACATTTATGTGTGGGACACTTCTATGTGGATGGAACACACATTTATGAACACAACAGCAAGCCTGAAGTAGTTTTTGTTGCTTCTCAAATCCACGTACTTTGTGTGTCAAATCTTCAGCGAACGAAGAGAAGAATTAGACTCACCCAGCTCGCAAGGACCAAATATTTTTGTTTGTTTCTGTCCCGACCGGCAACAAGGAAAGCTTCGCGTGAAGTGCTTTCAAGCTGCAAAGTTTCATGCGCTTGCAAAGTTTCGCACCACGTGAAGAACTTGACATGGCGGAAAGGTTGAAGTGGCGCCTAGGCCACAGCTTTATCAATACCAGCCGAAATGCGCTTCAGCGCACCATGCCCGCCATCCAAAACCAAGATAAGTTAGACCTGCGACCAGGTTTGGGAAGTTCAAAGTGTTTCAAGAGGTGGGTTGTAGGGGTTTTGCTTCAAGTAATACCTCAGATGGATGTGAAAGTTTCAGCACTTTATGGCATTTTGCAATTGTGATCTACTTTTGTTGATGCACAGTCCTCAACCAGGGGATATGGTGCACCGCCATCATCGAACATCTTTCTTTTTCGCAGGATTTGAGTGAGGGCTTGCCTTTGCAAACAACATATTTTGGTTCAGTGAATCAGGTGCTTGTACAGGATGTTGAACCAAACTCAGGTATGGTCCAAAAGCAAAGACCCGGCCGACAGACCACGGATTCCTTTCAAAACGAAGCTCGAGGATTTGACCTTTGGGTTGAAACTGGGGTTCATCAGTGGTAGATCGGTAGATAGCTTTAGCATCAGTTGACTTGATGTTGTATGTTTGACGGCTTATCCCAACAAGTTCAAGGACCCTGATTCTGCTTCTTGACCACGATCCTGCCCCAGCCTGCTGGTGATACTGAACCGGGGTGTGTTGAACAAGTATTCCAGCGAAATCCAGCGAATCACGTTCACACAAAACCTGTTTGTTTTCTTGATGTTTGGTTTCGATTGGAAGCCACTGGTGGTTTCCCAGCATGTTTCCGAGCATGACGTATCAGCATCTCTCGAAACGCCTTATTCGCGCCTGCGAGGCGATGTACGAGGCGGGGTTTCCGCTCGAATCATATGATCCTTTGTGCCACTCGCAGCTGGCAGCTGACATGGATGGTTATGAAACAGGCACAGCAAGTTAAGGCGACGCAAGAAACGCAAATTGAAGTGTTGTGATTTTGCCCACTTTGGGTGAACATGGCGTGAGATGGACAATTCAAGGTTTGGACATGTCTAGACTTCAACAAGAGGGGAACAAGAGCGGCGGTCCAAACAATCGAGAGAAGCATGGGAGTCCCATCCCTACTGTTTCGGGGCCTTTTGAGGTACGTCTACGTATGATGGCAGATGGGGTGGACAGGGTGATGATGGATGATGAAAGTATGGCAGATGGGGTGGTGATGATGGATGATGGTTTGTCTCGCCTTTCATGTTTTTTCCACTGTATGTCGGCTTGAAGGGTCGATGTTGTTGTTTGCAGAATCCCCCCCCAGGGTTTTCGAATGGTGAAGTGTGATCTTCCGATGTTTTTGTCGTACGACCACGGGAGAATTCACTAGTGTCACAGTGTAGACTCTTGATTAATCACCTCCCCCATATGAGGAGGTTGTTCAATTAAATTGGGGGAGGTTATCAATCAAGAGTCTACATTAAGCAGTCGCGAGCAGTCATCTTCCCAGATCATCATCATGATAATTTCAACATTTGTTATTGCCGGTCCATGCAATGGTCAGTAAACATAAAATAGCATCAAAGGCCTCTAACACGGCCTCGGACATCTACTCCTAATTACTATAGTGGGAGGGCCACAACATTGAGTTTGGATGTCACGTGCGTATTTTGAGACTATTGACTATCTTTTTGTTGGGGAGGGCTTTTGGCTTTGATGGTGTTTGAAAGGGTCCCTGCACACTACCACTACCTGAGGCTGTTCATCACTGTTGGCTGTCAGCAACGAGCTGCAAAGAAGTCCAGTGAGATGTACTCCCAAAGCAACGATGGATGTCGGTATGGTGGAGTCGGTAGCCACCTGCGTTTCGTTCTTTTTGCTTGTGACAACTTGGGTCAAAGCCCAGAACCCTTTTCACCCTGGTCGGTCGACATCCCCAGGGGTCGACATCTGTTCATTTTCGTCAATCAAGGTCCCCCCAGTTTTGACCCATATAGGGGAAAAACTGATCAGACTGGGGTGGATGGCCTCCAACCTAATAGCGATGGCCTCCAACCTAAGAGGGATGAGCTGTCCATGTGATTGAGAAATGGCATCAAGACCCCAGTTTCTATGGCGGTCCATACTATGTCTGCCATTTCGGACCTCGCAGGCAACGAGGGTGCCTCTCATGCCCCACGAGGCGGGTTCGGGCCGTTGCGACCGTGCCGGGAGCAAGAAGCGATGGTCATAGGAGGTTTCTTTCGGGTCGTCCGTTGAGGTCCCAACGGTCCGGTGGTCGAAATGGGGCGAGACCTCTAGGAATATATTCCATACATGGAGTGGTTTGCCTGTGTACTAGCACACGGAAACTCTGTAACCAACAGGTTCCGGTCCGCTTTCCATCTTAAGCGGCGGGGGTTGCCCTGTAGGCAAGCTTGTGTACATGTGTGGCGTCAAGTTAGATTATTTGTTTGACTCCTTGGGGTTGCATCGCATCGTTCGTGATTCGTTGAGTTGACACGTTCTGCGAAATTGTGCGTTCGGTGTTGCGAACATGGAAAAAGGGCTGGCTTTAAAATGGAAGCAAAGCAATTGATGGAGATCCACTAGTTGCATAAGATATTACAACATATTACAACTATATACCTATAGAACCTCTTCTTAGGCATAAATGTTTGCCTACTTTGGGTAAAGGCGCCTGTGCTGAGGCGATCTTGCCCCCCGTAGGCGTTCTTGGCTCCGCTAGGCATTCTTGTCCTTTTGGCGGCAATGGCAAGGCCCAATAAATAGATAAGTATCTACCCACCACTGGCTGCAGGCATAGGAATACAGGACACTTGTTTATCAGGAATGAATTCATTGATGTTTCACTTCTGCATGCGTTTAGCGTTTCTATGCATTGTTTCATTGCTTTAGTAACTTAGGCGTTCTTACCCGATACTTAGACGTTCTTGCCCGTTACTTAGGCGTTCTTACCCGTTCCCCCCTCACAACAAACAGTAGTTGGGTGGACAAGGAATGGTAGCCTTTTGGGGGGGAGCAAGTGACATGAGTTTCAAACACTTTACTTTAGACCGGGCATTAGCGTCAGGTTGCTTTCTCAAAAGTTTTTTCTTTCAGATTATGGTTTTGCCTCCTGCATGCAAGAATGCATGTGATTGTGCCTCGGCATTTTTGAAACTCGAGGCTGCAGCCTTAGGAGTTCTTTATGAAAACTTGCATAATTTTCTACAAGTTGGGCGGACATTATTGCCTAATGAGGTTCTAGGTATAGTATAATTCTACCGCTGATTTTGTCCTCCAAAGCAGAACTCACAAACAGAACTGCAAATCACAACCTCTCACTGCGCAAATCAAAGCTGACCTTGGCAAGTTATCACAGACCGTCAAACCAGGGTTCATGAAATCCCCTCTTCGGGCACACTGGCCTGAGAACATGTTTTGGCCCCACCCAAGCTTAGAATGTATGTATATATAGACTGAGTATTATGACCGACCCCACCTATATACATCGAACTACATCGATCCCTTTCAAAGTAGTCGCGGCATGAAACAGAGATCTGACCAGATCAGCAGAAAGGTATGTGTTGGTACAGATCTTCAGTTTCCTTTTTGTTGGCACTCTTCTTTCGATACTCGCCTTTGGGTTTCTCGTGTGTGTTTTGGCACCTCCTAGTCTGCATCTATCGACCTCCCACGCCGGACCCTCACTGTTTGCTCCAGACTCTCCAGGTGCCGAGCTTCTCGGAGCAAATGCGCCAGGCGAGCGCAGTCGGCGGCGCATCAGTTGCGCAGATCGATGAGGCGCAGCTTCCGGTCCGGGTGCGCGAAAGTCTCTTTGCATGGCGCCACCGTGTAGTGCATAACTCGTGTTTGTTGTTGTTGTTTAATTGTTTGGTGGGTGGTCAGAAGTTGAGTTTGGGCAACATGAAGCAACATGGAACAAGAGCTGGGGCGCAGCATGTATATAGCAGAACGACCTCTGGCAGTCCGGTGCACAGTTGGGTGTGTCGCCGTCCGGGAGACCCCCCCCTGGCTGGCTGGGTAGACTCGTTGATATCCAGAAAGCACCCAGAAAGTCGTTCTGAAACATGTTGTGTATCCCATAGGATCCAGTCGTACCGAACCTCAGGTTCGGTACGACTGGACCCGACAATGGCACCTACATAACAGTGCCGAACACATCACCTTCTGAGAAGGTACGACTGGATCCCTAGGGTTTTGCAAACAGTTCCTCTCTGGACAGTTGTGTTCATTCTGGACGTGTTTCATTGAGACACTGTGCTTAAAAAGATCAACCCTGGTGTCAAGTCTTTTTTGTTTGACAGATCATCACCCCTGCTGCCCTACTACTTTGTAATATCAGATCATCAAATCAGATTAATTATGTGTTTGTGTTTTGGACATTTTGTTAGTATTGCTCGTCCCTTTTGTTCCGGTGGTTTTCGCTCCTCGCTCCTTCTCCCAGATCGGCTGGTCCTTCGGTCCGTCGAAGGCAAGACCGCAGGAAGAGCAGGAAGAGGCGGCATCATCCCCGCATCAAGAGATGCCGACATTCGAGACCAACATCGTGCAACCAAAAAACATAAAACAACAGAACAAAAACGTGTGCAGAAGTGAAGTCATAGGAGTGGTAGAGGGCGGAGTCGACCGGTCTTTGACTGACCAACATTTTGTTGAATCGATCCCCAAAGCGAGCAAGCTGAGGAACCGTCCCCGAGTATAGAGAGTATAGTAGAGAGTAGCGAGTTTGGCCCAAAGACGATGTGCCCGAAAATCGGTGTTTCTGAAAACTACGCCAAGAGTTGGTCTCAGATGTCAGAAATCCCCGAAAATGCGGAAGTGGTGCTGTTATAGACATTAGTTTCGGAAGTGGGCTCCCTGCAATGATATGTGGGGTTCACTTTGCAACAGATGCGGAACCACAGAAGTTTGGTTTACTTTGTACCCAGACGCTCCTGGAATCCTGAGGGGTCGGACCCGATTCCGGGTTTGGGGTCCAATTTTCAGGTTTTTGTTGTTCCCAGCCAGGAAGTTTGGAGCGGTTTGGGTAGTTTGCCAGGCCAAGCCAAAAACCAGCCACGCTCTTGTTGTGCACGTCTCCACCTCTTTGAGGTCAAACAACCAACCAAGACCTTCTCGATCCACGCGCGATGGGCTTTCACTGTTTGTCAGCAATGTTGGCTTTAAAAAGAAAAAAACAGAAAGGGGTAACCATGGGGGGTGGAGTGGTGTAGATTGTAGAACATGCCAACAACGGGCATGATGGTAACAAAAAACACCAAACAACATGCCAGCTGCGCCTTGCCGTCCTGCGGAGCCCACCAGGCCTCCATGGCAGGGCCCACTGCCGATCAGATCAAGGCCGGTGTACTTGGATCGGCGGTCAGGTGTGCCGGAGAAGATGGAACCAAACAAGCTAGACTTCGCAGGTGAGGTCGACCTTCAACAGCTCCAATCATGGAATCATAGAGCTGTTGGACTCCAACATTTACAGCGGATCTTCTTTTCTCGGTCTGGATGCCTAATCCGATGGTTCAAGCTGTTCATGGCTGGGTAGTTGGGGTCATGATGCGCTACACACACAGACTACTCTGTAGAGCCAGGCTTTGTTCATTTGGGTGAGGACACAGTGAAGACACACAAGCAGGTCATTTGTGCCTTCATGTAGCCATCTAACCCAACAAACAGTTTAGAAGCTCCACACCTTTACAGGGTGTACTGAATGGTCCTCCTTGCCGATTGTTTTTTGGAAGAGTGGCAATGAACACGTCGTATTCTGAGAAAGCCAGTCCCTTCGGAACTCCTGCCCCAGAATCCTCCGGGTGTAGTGCAACACTTTGGTAGTTTCTTACGTTTGCTGCAACACCCAGAAATGCATGAAGTGAAGGACAATCAACACCCAGAAATGTGTTGTGACTGTGTGTTTAACAAAAACGGAGAATCCTTGGTTCTGTCACTCCACATTCTGAAAGCTGGATCGTTCCTTGCTCCAAAAAGCGGTGACCGTTCATCCCTGTCGGCTCCCAGGCCTTCTGTGCGTCGGCAGAGGCCCTTGTGGCCTGGGAGGTCAAGGAGAGGTCGGGTCGGCAGAGGCGAAGGACTTCGCCACGGTGAAGCAAAGGACACATGAAAAGACGGACCTCTTCCGTTGCGCGCGACAAAGATAACTATGAAGATACATAGAAGTGAAGACATGACCCTGCAAGTCAATCACCCAAGTTTAACTTGGTCATTAGCAACGTTAAACTTCAAGGTTCTACTTGTAGGGATTAAGTTATAGACATGACAGATGTTGAACGATTTGAGGAGTTTTGTGGCAGGAGAGAAACATGAAGATGTCGCACTTCAAACACATGATCAACATGATTTACGTTTCCTCTTCTTTGAACCAGCATGAATCAGCCACACGTCTCTTCACCACTAGCAGGAGCCAAAGCCACAAGTTGAGGCGAGATCAAGCAGTGCTGTTTTTCTTTTTCTATCGCATGTCTTTTCGATCGAATGGCTACCTTCCCCCGCCCAACTGGATGTCTGGATATCCGAAGAATGGCGCAGAAACTTCACCGATCAGATCGTTCGGGCTTCTTGAGGTGTTAAACAGTTGTTTTGGTTGGTTTCTTGTCGACTGTAGGTCTGTGCACTTCTTTTGTTTTTTCGTTCGGATCAATCTGGAACCTGAAAAGAACATTTGTTCGACGCTGGGTTTAGTCAAGGCGTGTAGAACTCTGACCATCTCCGACCTATATATGTTCCATCCGACGAGCCCCGTGGGCCCCGCAGTCCCCTGTATTAGGAGCTCCAACGGCTGCGGTGAAGATATCACGCACTCCCTGAATGAATCCAAATGGGATTTCATCACCCTCAGACATCGGGGAGCGGGAGTGCGTTTTCCATCCACGTTGGGCCGATTTCAGGGAGTGCGGCTTTCATTCTCCCACAATCGTCGAAGTAGACAGGCTGACCGGGTTTGTCACCTGTTTGTTGGATGGAGAGTCAACCAAGGCCAGGCTGGCTACATGTGCAAGAGGTACCAAAAGAAAACATAAAACATTGCCCGTTGGTGGGTAAAAAGTGGCTTTGTCTACTGGAGACAACTCGTGGCCACTTTGGGATTTACCATGCAGAGGCATTCGTGTGGACTCAGAGATTTGAACATGCTTGAACGATCCTTTTGCTGTTACCCTCCCTCCAACAATCATGGAAGCTGACCAGGACCCCCTTGTAGAGGAACATGATCTTCCAGGGGCCTACGTTCCACTTCCATGATTGTTTCAGGGAGTGTAATTCTTTTACGTCCGATCGACTCTCATCGAATCCTTTAGAAACCCAAAACCGCAGGGTTCAGTGCAGGGATCAGCCTCACAGCCTCACTAGATTGAGACGTGTTTGTGCTCAAGGACATCTTGGTAGACCAAGTCGCAGGAAGTTCCAGCTGGTGGCCTCCTGTTTTGTGCTGCCTGGAGATGCTCTGGGACCCGAATATATCCTCATATGGAGGGGGTTGGAGTCTCAAATCCGGTTTTGAGATGTCTTGAGGGACCCAAGGGCAGTTTGCAACGTTTGGGTGGCGGATCTTTTCTGGAGAGAGACGTCCCACGAAATGGAACGGTGGAGGTGATCTCACTCGCCACACCCACTGGAGAGGAGGAGCAGGTGCTCCGAGGGGAGACTGGAGCGGCCTGCGTGAGATGAAGTACACTCGGACTCACTAACATGGATGTGGAAAACACATTGCTTCTAGAGGAAAACAACATTTCAAGGGGCCATCCTCCACTTCCATGTTAGTGAGTCAGAGTCAGAGTGTAGGAGATTCTGTTTTTCCCGAATGCGTAGCGAAGGGTTTCCGTTTATAGTTGGGGGTCTGGGGGTTGGAGCTGTGTTTGCATGGCTTGCGTCGTGTCGTCGTCTCTCGTCGTCTCTCGTCGTCTGTCGTCGTCGTGTCGTCGTCGTCGCGTCTCAAATTTGCAAGTGACTTTGCATGGACGTGTCACGTGTCAGTTTGCGCCGCTATTCCATTGTGATTTGCAGGACCAGGACATGTCGCGCGAGAAACGTGATGCGTTTCGCTGCACAGGCACAGCGTTTTGTGAGATCCGCAGTTTGCTGCGCAGTGCCATTGGGATTAGCGTTTGGAGAGTCGTGTTTTTGGGGTGTGGGATGTGTCCGTGCCATTGGGGTTTGCGTTTCAGGGTGTGGCATCGAAGCTCTGTTTTCGTGACAAGTCTCAGCTGAAATGGCGATTTTGGTGGATGGGAGTGTGCTCTGAACGGGTCGAAATCATTCCAAACGTGTGGTGTGGTGCAAATTTTGTTGAAGCTCACATGCGATGATATTGTCACTTTTCGTGGCAGGCGCAGGACTTCGTGCGGGCTTTGAGGCGTGGAAGTGCGATTCTCGTGGCAGGCGCAGGGAATCGTGAGGTTGTGAGTTGTGGTAGAGGTGAATGTCGCTGTCACATTGGGATTGGCGTGTGAGCGGATGTTGCTTGGAGGGGCTGGAATCACGAAACTGCTTGGCAGGGCTGCGTGATGTGTGTGTGTGTGCTCCGATGGGTGTTTCCGCTTGACTTTTGGAGGAAGTCTCGTACGAAACGCTCGTTTTGCAGACTTTGACATGTGAGTTTTTGAGGAAGTCTCGTACGAAACGCTCGTTTTGGAGACTTGACGCGCAACCCTCTGCGGAGATCGCGCGTGTCGAGTGAGCGAAATGCAGGCGAGAGTGCGATTTGACCCATGCGCGCGCAACCCTCTGCGGAGATCGTGCGTGTCGAGTGCGCGAAATGCAGGCGAGAGTGCGATTTGTCCCATGCGCTCGCAACCCTCTGCGGAGATCGTGCGTGTCGAGCGCGCGAAATGCAGGCGAGCACTGGCGACTTTGTAGTACAACTTCAGTACGCGGGGTATCTGGGGAGCTGGAAGGTGAGAACTGGTGACTTGGTAGTACAACTTTAGTACGCGGAGCAATCTGTGGAGCTAGAAGCTGAGAACTGGCGACTTTGTAGTACAACTTTAGTACGCGGAGCAATCTGTGGAGCTGGAAGCTGAGAACTGGCGATTTTGTAGTACAACTTGAGTACGCGGAGCAATCTGTGGAGCTGGAAGCTGAGAACTGGCGACCTTGTAGTACAACTGTAGTACGCGGAGTATCTGGGGACCTGGAAGCTGACAACTCACGACCTTCTATTACAACTTTAGCACGCGGAGTATCTGGGGAGCTGGAAGAGAGTCCCACAAGAGTGTCCCCCAACAGTGTCCCGCCAGAGTGTCTCACAAGAGTGTCCCTTAAGAGTGTCCTACACGAGTATCCCACAAGAGTGTCCTACAAGAGTGTCCCACAAGAGTGTCCCACAAGAGTGTCCCACAAGAGTGTCCCACAAGAGTGTCCTACAAGAGTGTCCCACAAGAACGTCCCACAAGAGTGTCCTACAAGACTGTCCTACAAGAGTGTCCTACAAGAGTGTCCCACAAGAGTGTCCCAGAAGAGTGTCCCTTAAGAGTGTCCTACACGAGTATCCCACAAGAGTGTCCTACAAGAGTGTCCCACAAGAGTGTCCTACAAGAGTGTCCCACAAGAGTGTTTCACCAGAGTGTCCCTTAAGAGTGTCCCACAAGAGTGTCCTACAAGAGTGTCCCACAAGAGTTTCCTACAAGAGTGACCCACAAGAGTGTCCTACAAGAGTTTCCTACAAGAGTGACCCACAAGAGTGTCCTACAAGAGTGTCCTACAAGAGGAGTGTCCCACAAGAGTGTCCCACAAGAGTGTCCTATAAGAGTGTCCCACAAGAGTTTGCCACAAGAGTGTCCCACAAGAGTGTCCTACAAGAGTGTCCTACAAGAGTGTCCCACAAGAGTGTCCTACAAGAGTGTCGTGTAAGAGTGTCCCACAAGAGTGTCCTGCAAGTGACCCACACAAGTGTTCTACAAGAGTGTGTCACAAGAGTGTCCCCCAAGAGTGTCCTACAAGAGTGTCCCACAAGAGTGTCCTACAAGAGTGTCCCACATGAGTGTTCCACCAGAGTGTCCTATAAGAGTGTCCCACAAGAGTGTCCTACAAGAGTGTCCCACAAGAGTTTCCTACAAGAGTGACCCACAAGAGTGTCCCACAAGAGTGTCCCAGAAGAGTGTCCCACAAGAGTGTCCTACAAGAGTGTCCCACAAGAGTGTCCTACAAGACTGTCCCACAACAGTGTCCCACTAGAGTGTCTCACAAGCGTGTCCCTTAAGAGTGTCCTACAGGAGTATTCCACAAGAGTGTCCTACAAGAGTGTCCCACAAGAGTGTCCCACAAGAGTGTCCCACAAGAGTGTCCCACAAGAGTTTCCGACAAGAGTGTCCTACAAGAGTGTCCTACAAGAGTGTCCCACAAGAGTGTCCTACAAGAGTATCGTGTAAGAGTGTCCCACAAGAGTGTCCCACAAGAGTGTCCCACAAGAGTGTCCTACAAGAGTGTCCTACAAGAGTGTCCCACAAGAGTGTCCTACAAGGGTCTCGTGTAAGAGTGTCCCACAAGAGTGTCCTGCAAGTGACCCACACAACTATTCTACAAGAGTGTCTCACAAGAGTGTCCCACAAGAGTGTCCTACAAGAGTGTCCCACAAGAGTGTCCTACAAGAGTGTCCCACAAGAGTGTTTCACCAGAGTGTCCTATAAGATTGTCCCACAAGAGTGTCCTACAAGAGTGTCCCACAAGAGTTTCCTACAAGAGTGACCCACAAGAGTGTCCTACAAGAGTGTCCCAGAAGAGTGTCCCACAAGAGCTGTCCCACAACAGTGTCCCACTAGAGTGTCCTATAAGATTGTCCCTTAAGAGTGTCCTACAGGAGTATCCCACAAGAGTGTCCTACAAGAGTGTCCCACAAGAGTGTCCTACAAGAGTGTCCCACAAGAGTGTCCCACAAGAGTGTCCCGCAGAGTGTCCCACAAGAGTGTCCTACAAGAATGTCCTACAAGAGTGTCCTACAAGAGTGTCCCACAGAGTGTCCCACAAGAGTGTCCTACAAGAGTGTCCCACAAGAGTTTCCTACAAGAGTGTCCCTTAAGAGTGTCCTACACGAGTATCCCACAAGAGTGTCCTACAAGAGTGTCCCACAAGAGTGTCCCACAAGAGTGTCCCACAAGAGTGTCCTATAAGAGTGTCCCACAAGAGTTTCCTACAAGAGTGACCCACAAGAGTGTGCTACAAGAGTGTCCTACAGAGTGTTCCGCAAGAGTGTCCTACAAGAGTGTCATTTGGACATATTAGTTTTTCGAACGTGTTTGCATTCGGGTTCGTGGGTTCCATCTTGTTTTTGACAAACACACATTGTTCAGGGATTTCAATCAGGAGGTTGACATAGGTGGAAGTTATATAAGAAGAATCACATCTCATGCTCAGAGCCCACCAGCATCATTGTTTTGGGAGCTGACTCTTGGAGCATCATAGGATGTTTCTGATACCTGAAGTATCCCGACGTGGGGCACTTTAGCCTTAACGGAGTTGTTGTTGATCATAAAACAACACGGCTCGGGACCGGGAGACCCACCTTTGAAGGCTCCGAGCGATATCCGGATATC